GGTGCCCAGTTCTAGCCTACCAAATTTGGCCCATTATCGAATGAGCCCAATGGAACATGAAGAGTTGCACAGACAAGTTGTTGATTTGCTTAAGAAGTGATTGATTCGAGAAAGCATGTCACCATGTGCCGTCCCTGCATTACAGACTTCAAAAAAAAGATGGGTCATGGAGGATGTGAGTGGACAGTCGGGCAATCAACAAAATCCCAATCAAGTACCAATTTCCCATACCCAGGCTCAATGATATGTTAGATATGCTTAATGGAGCCAAGGTTTCTCAAAGATTGATTTAAGGAGTGGGTACCATCAAATTCGGATTTGTCCTGGGGATGAATGGAAGACCACATTCAAAACTCGAGATGGACTATATGAGTGGCTTGTGATGCCATTCGGGCTTTCTAATGCACCAAGCACATTCATGCGCCTAATGATTGAAGTACTCGTCCTTCTATTGGTAAATTTGTTGTGGTTTATTTTGATGATATTTTGGCTTTTAGTGTTAACCCACAAGATCATCTTAACCACTTGGAACAAGTTTTTCACGTGCTGAGGAAGGAATCACTTACTGTGAATTTGAAAAAATGTTCATTTATGACAAACAATGTCGTCTTTCTGGGGTATGTTGTTTCATCTTAGGGAATTAAGGTGGATCAAGAAAAAGTGAAGGCCATAGCTGAGTGGCCGCTGCCAAAGTCACTCACTGAGGTGCATTCTTTCATGGCCTAACGACTTTTTATCGCCAATTTATCAAAAATTTCAGCACTCTAATAGCACCAATGACTGATTGTATGAGGGCTGGAAAGTTTTCCTGGAGTCCCGCTGCTAAAAAGAGCTTCACTCTAATTAAACAAAAGATGATGCAAGCACCAATACTTGCCTTACCAGATTTTTCTAAAGTGTTTTCGGTTGAAACTGATACACCAAATGTTGGCATAGGGGCAGTTCTAAGTCAAGAGGGGCGACCCGTGGCCTTCTTTAGTGAGAAATTGAATGAAGCACGTAAGAAGTATTCGGTCTATGACCTCGAGTTTTATGCAGTGGTGCACGCCTTGCGCTACTGAAGGCACTATCTGATTCATAGGGAGTTTGTTTTATACTCAGATCATGAAGCACTCCGGTATTTGAGTTCTCAGAAGAAGTTGAATGCGCGACATGCTAAGTGGATGGCCTTCCTTCAAGAATACATCTTTCTATTAAAGCATAAGGCTGGAATCCAAAATAAAGTAGCTGATGCTTTAAGTAGAAGGGTAGTGTTGCTTAGAACTTTGTTTATGGCAGTGTTGGGGTTTGAAGTGATAAAAGATCAATATAAAGTTGATCCAATTTTCATCTAGGTCCTTGAAAGGTGTGTTGATGGGCAACACCCTATGGGTGAGTATCTCATGCATAATGGTTGTTTATTTAAAGGTGTGCGCTTATGTATACCTAATTGCTCCCTGAGGGAGAAGATAAGCATGGAGCTTCATGGTGGAGGATTAGGTAGGCACTTTGGGAAGGACAAAACTATAGAAAAATATTTTTGGCCACGTATACGGAGAGATGTTGATCGATTTGTGACCCGATGTCGAACTTGCCCAAGTATATAAAGGTCACACACAAATACAGGTCTTTATACCTCTCTTCCTGTTCCAGGTGCCCCATCGGCTGATCTCTTTATGGACTTTGTACTTGGACTTCCACGTACCACACGAGGTATGGACTCTATTTTTGTTGTTGTTGATCGATTTTCCAAAATGACACATTTTATTCCTTGTAGGAGAACTATGGATGCTACATATATTGCCAATCTCTTTTTCAAAAATATTGTAATGCTACATGGTGTTCCTAAGTCTATTACATCTGATCAAGATACAAAATTCTTAAGTTATTTTTGGTGCACTTCGTAGAAGCGCATGGGAACTAAAAATTCAATTTTGTAACGCCTATCATCCACAAACAGATGGGCAGACGAAGTAGTGAATAGGAGCCTTGGTAACCTCTTGAGGAGTATTGTTGGTAATAACATATCTCAGTGGGACATCGCTTTGCCTCAGGCTAAGTTTGCTTACAACAGTTTAATAAATCGATCTACAGGAAAATCACCATTTGAGATTATTAATGGGCGTACGCCTAATCATGTGCTGGACCTAGTGCCATTACCCATGCCAGGCAAGATCAGTGATAATGCCAATGCTTTTGCTGAGCATATTTGAGATTTGCAAGCTCAAATCAAGAAGAAAATTGAGGAAAGCAATGCAAAGCATTGAAAAGCTTCAAATGAGCATAGAAGAGAAAAAATTATCAAGGAGGGGGACTTAGTAATGGTGTATTTGCGAAAGGAAAGGTTTCCTTTGGGAACCTATAATAAACTCAAGTCCAAGAAGGTGGGCCCTTGCCGCATTTTGAAGCAATATGGGAACAATACATATAAGGTGGAATTACCAAAGGTATTGGATATCTCCCCGATATTTAATGTTGCTGACTTATTTGAGTTTCATGGAGACCCTCTAGAAGTTGAAGAAGAAGTAGTTGATATGATGAAGCAATTATCGAGAAAGAAAGCGGAGGAAATTGAGCAAGTTTTGAAGACTGAAAGCTTTCAAACTGAAAAAGGTTCCTATCACCAATTTCTAGTCAAATGGGAGGGCAGGCCATACTCTGATAGCACATGGATTTCTGAGCAAGAGTTCAAAAGAGTGGATCCAGACTTATACCGCGCCTATACTGAAGCCAACTTGCCGGAGTCGAGTTCCTTTCAACTGGGGGGGAATGATGCAGTCATGCCCCTTCGTGACTGCACCAAGAAGGGTCGTAGAGCCCAAGATGGAAATAAAGGGGTAATGATGTAATAAGGGGGATTCTTAGGGTTATTTTAATTTTTAGTCTTTTAATAAAAATAGGGAGTACGTTAATTAGGAGGGCATGAATTTATATTGTGTTTATCTTGTATCGATTGGGTTAGTTAGTTTGGGATATAAATAGTATAAGGTTAAAGTTAGGGGAGTTTTATCTTTATCACAATAGGAAGTCTTTGGATAAAAACGTGGGAAGCAAATCTTTTAGGTGGCATTGGATAAATCGTGAGGGAGAAAATCGGTACGTGAGGTTAAGAGATGGTGGTAGGTTAAGAGAGAAAATAGGAAAGTGTTTATTTATTTTTTTAATCTATTTAAGGGAGATTTCCCTTCATTGTAAATCAGTCTATGAATTGAATAAAAATGGGTCTCGTGAAAGAGATTGTTTTGGGGGTGGATTCCCTTGCGGACCTTTGAGAGAGCGTATTTTCTCTCAACCTTCCTTCTTTTTACTGTTAATTTTCTGGTTTTATTCTCTCCCTGCATCAGCAGCCCACTTCTCCATAAGAGTGAATCCATCAGCAATTTTGTCAGGCATATCACTCTCCTACACATTGACCATAGTATCATTAAGAGTCAAACTCATCCTCCTCATGTCACAAGCATAGGATCAACTAGGGAAGGGCACCACATTAATCTTTACAAATTACTTTTAATTTCTTTCCCCCCCATTTCTACCAGTTATCCAAATGATAGCACATGAAAATATTGGTTCAAAACAATAAAGAAGAAAGACCTAGGCATCAAAGAAAAGCCTCAGACTTATAGTGGAATGGAGATTTCTAACAATGCAATGTGCAGATTGAATTTTGCACGCAATCAAGAAGTCAGATGCACAGTGTAATATTCATTTTCAATCATCATGAATGGGAACTAAAAGTCACATACAGAATCTACTGTGGCCTGCAACAAAGTGACCCTCAATCATCTTTTTGTTCACCATTGATAGAAGATTTTAGAAGTAGGTTAGTAGAGTGACAACATAAGGGACTCATTGAAGGTTTAAGGAAAGCCCATGAACATGACGATACCACGTCTTAAATTTGTTGTTGATACATTATGCTTTTGTAATTCCCCACCAAATTGGGCAGCGAAAATAAAAATATTATTCTAAGGTGCTTTCATCTTATCTCAGGGATGAGAGCAAACCTATCCAAAGTCATAGTCATAAGGCTTGGCATTCTAGAAAACATGTTGGCCTTCTAATAATCAACATTTGAGTGTGAGGTGAGGGATGCTGAGGGCATTAGAATCCTTTTTTATGTGTTTTACTGCATCGTAGATTAGTGGCAGATGAAAAGTGAACACAAATTTTCAAAATAGCATTTTACCAGACACAGAATATCAGCTTGAGAAGTATGGGGATTTTGATGTTGACCCTACAAAGGTCAAAGACTCAATAATTATTTAGAAAATAAACAAACTCCCAGTGCCTTATGAATTTCACTAGATCTAAAGAAAAAGAATACATAGCCATCCAAACTCTTGCCAAAGAGAAAGTAAAAGCACAAAACTGTACAAACAATTTCAGGAAATTAACACGAACTTTGAAGCTCAAATTTTCAAATTGTCAAAAAGGAAAGGCTCACAGTTAAGAACATGAGGATCAAGTTTAACTGTTTTTCTCTTTTGCCTATCTAATATAGTGTTTTGAGGAACCATTTGAGCAAAACGGAATATTTCCTGCTCAAAGGCTTGACATTATTCATCCGAATAATAATAAACAAGTCTATCATAACCAGGCTACATACTGCCTTCAGATTATCCCATACATGTTTTTCAGTTAGGGATTCCAGTGTAAAAGAGTAACTTAACCATCAAGATAAATAAAAAGGGGGAAAATTTAGAACCTATAAAGGATCATCTTTTAAGCATTTAACCAAGAGAAAATCGTAAATTGGAGCATGTAGCATCCCTGATACCTCATCAGATCATCGAGGCGAACAAGAAAAGCACCAGATTAACGATAACTTTAAATGTGCACAATGTATTTACCTTAAAAAAACATAATAAACATGCAAAATAAAACAAGTTATTCAAGGGAATGGTTCCAAACCTGATATATATTTTCTGCAGAAATCTTGAATGAACTTTAATGAAAAGAACTGAATTTTACTCGTTAACAATTTTCTCTTGGTTACATGAACTATAATGAAAGTAACTTACTGCTAACAAAGAGCTCAGAGCTGAATCCCCTGGAGAAAGCAGGCCTATTTGACAGTAAAAGGGGTTTAGCCAAACCGCTTATAATCTTTGTTCTCCCAAGAAAGAAACCCATATGAGAGAATCCTGAAACTTCAGCTCAATAACCCATGATTCCAACTTTCCTCGTTGCACATAAAGGGCAAAGGTCTAGGGTTCTAAACTGCATGTGCGGCGTCTCCGAATGCGTGCAATTATCATATATTATTGAGAGAGCGTTGAGTAAAGTGCCCATTTATTTGGAGGGAAAGCTGTCCATGTTTCCCTCCAGCGTAGTTCTATCCTCCACTTACCAGCTAGCCGTACTTTTTTTATCACGACGGTTACTTACTACTTGATTTTAGATTCGACGTCTCAAAATATTTTATTTTTAATTTTTTTAATATAAATTTTTTAATATGAAATTTAGTACTTGTCATCTTCTCATTTAGGATGGATCTATAAAAAATATTAACAATAATTTTTTAATAAAAATAATAACTAAAATACCCCTTAAAACTTTCAAAAGTATTTTGGTCATTTTATTTTATTGAAAATATTTTTTTTATTTTTCGTTAGTATGAGTTTAATAGAAAAATGGACATCTAAATTTTGGTGTCAAAACAATTTATAGAAAAAATTTAAAAATAAAATAATGTAGAGACGTGACATTGTCATTGAGACAATCTTAACCTTCTATTAAAAAATGAACGGCTGGATAAGGGGGAGGATAGATCTTCTATGTTGTAGGAAAAATATAGAAAGCTTTCTCTTATTTATAATGGTACATGGCTCTCCCTATTTAATTAAGGGAAATTATGTCCATATCATTTTTATTTCCGATATAACATAAAGGTCCACACATATGTTTTTTATTTTTTCGACTTTGCCCCCCATTGAACACACTATTAAACTTTTATACATTTTATTAAATTTTTATTTTTTTTATATTCACACGCATGTCGTCAAAAAATTTTGGAACAGGCTCATTTATAGTGCAACCCGATGTCCTAAACATCAGATCCCTTCTTGGTAAATTTAATTTTTAAGCGGTAGGATGTTTTAGTCATCGTAATAGCGGGTGTGACTTAAATTCCCATATTGTGTGAGTTATTTAACGGTTCGATGATTCAAGTATCGAACAGCTTATTACAACTAAAAACTTTTCTTTCTAGGATGCACATATGTTGGGTGCGATGGCTTTTTGAAGTTGGAGGGCAAATAATAGATAAAGGGTATGCATTCTGGTGGTCAATCGTTGCTTGGTAAATAAACCTACGTATTCTTTTATGAGTAATGATCCTATGAGACCCTCCAACACTCATGTATATAGGATCTCAAAAGATCACTATTAAATTTGGTACGAATCTCTAAAAAGTTATCACATGGGTGTTGGACTGGACTTTTCTAAAATTATGTGCAAAATTTAATGATAATCCTTTGAGGTCCTACACACACATGGGTTTGGGAGAGTCTCATAGGATCATTAATCTTCTTTTATATCTATATTTCAACAATATTTAAGACTTTTATTTCTACATATAGATTCTTTTATACCTTGTTTAGTGTAATTCAGTTTGGCATTTAGGTTTCATTTGAGCTAACATAGGGACGTGTTGTAAACAAAAGAAATGGTAGTAATAAATGCCTAGATGTTTAAATCATCGAGCCTTATTTTTTTCTAAATAGTAAGAGTGATATTCCTTAGATAGTGGAGCAAAGCTCTTAACAAAATTACAAGACTAAGAAATAGGGAGGAGCACTCTCTAGATCCAAGATTGGCCAAACCTAACTCCTGGAATATAACACTCCCAAAAACTTCATCACTCCTACACCAAAACTACCTAAGTACCAACTAATCTCAACAAAAACTCACAAGACCCTCATCTTCTCAAAACAACTCTTCCGAGCTCCAACACCCAACAAGTAGCCCCAAGAGAGCACCTCCTTATCAAGGATCTCTGCATAGTCAAGATTAGGGCAACCAACAACCTACACCAGTCCGCAGCTGGGGTGACGGTGCTACAACTACAACCCAACAAAAGGACAAAAAATGGCCAAGAGGAAAAAGAGCTAGAAAAGAGGCCAAAGAAGAAAAAGGCTGGAGTAAGGCCATGAGAGGACCAGGAGGAACAAAGATGATGTGAGAAAATTGAAGTCATCTCCGTAAAAATTGTATTTGGCCACAAAATAAGAAGATTATAGCCACAAAGGAACCCCAACCTCCGTGACAGGGATCCCAGTGAAAAGCTTCATCTTAGGCATTAACCTATTGTGGCCTTATCCATAGATCGTCTAGTCCTCAGAAGAAACCCTGAGGACCAATCCTATGCGATAGGGCTCCCAGTGAACGAGTCTCATCTTAGGCATTAACCTAAAGTAACCTCATACAAATACCTTCCTGACCAGACAATCCAAAAAAAAATAACGACAAGTGCTGAACCCCAAGGGGTCACCCATCTTAGACGTTAACTTTATTTGGGTAGATGAGACAAGGGAAAGAGAGAGAGGTAAATAGGAAAAAAGAGATCAGGACGAAGACGAGGAATGAAAAGGATGGCAAAAAGGAGAAGATGGCCATGGAAAGGGTGGAGAGAAAAGACGAAGGAGGAAGGAGGAGAGGGGCACTGATGGCGGAGAGGGTCTCCACCCTCACCCCAACACTAAAGGTCTCTCTCTCTCTTTCTCTCTCTCTCAGAAAACCAAAAGGAAAGAAACTCCTAAAAGAGATGCAAAGAAAAGGGTCAAGAAAACAAAAAACTTTAAAAAGAAAATTAGGGATCAGCAAGAAAGAAAGGGAAAAGAACAAAGTAGAAGACATAGGAAAAAGACTCAGATCTGATGGTGGAAGCTCGAATATGAGCCCAAAAATAGAGGACCAAGAAAAAAAGATGTCGGGAGGCAAGGAAGCTACTGGAAGAAAGGATAATGAGATAAAAACGTTATTGGTCACCGAAGGTTGCTATTGCTGGTTTCCATAGGTAGCTGCTAGTCACTGCAAGGTTGTTGCAAGTCGCTAGAAGTTGTTGCGAGTCATCGAATAGTTGATGCAGAAAGCGGAAGGTCTCTCTCTTCTCGAGAGCTAAGGGCAAAAACTGGAGCGGTAGCTTGAAGGTGGCTGCAAGGGATGCTCGTTGCTTGCAGTCGTTGGACAGTGGCTGTTGGCAAGGGCTTGCAGGTGGTGGTTGGATAGTGGTTGGCGGTGAGGGTTTTCAGGCGGTGGCGACCTCAAACCCCACCACCTTCAAACCCTAACATAGCGTTTTACTATATGAAGAGATTACAATATCTAAGAGATAAAAATCATCGGACCTCATGATGGTAAAAGCGGTGTTCAAAGGTTAGGGCAGTCCGAAGTTTTAAACATCAACCCACCCTGCATATGTGTGTATTCTAAGTTTTTTTTATGGCAAAAAGTCCTGTAAAGATAAATAAAAAATTGAAAAGGAAATTTTATAAGCAGTCTGATATTTGAAATATCGGACCTAGTACAAAGTTGAAAAAAATAAAAAAATTTGGGAGAAAGGACCTCCACATAAATAACACATATTTATGGACTTTTCCATTCCTTAATTGAGAGAGAGAAGTATCGTATTTTCCCCATAAAATGTTTACTCAATTTTTAATGTCACTATGTGCAGGAGAGAGGGGGAAACATAAAATCAAAATAGAGATATGTCCGGACACACAAATGGTGCCAATAACCATATCCCCAGACCGATTTGAATGGAGGGTTTGATAACTTCAATTATAATATTATAAGTTTTTGAAGTGTCTGGTCTTAATTCGATGGCTCAAAGTTTTCTATTTTTTATTTTCTAATTCTACAAATCATTTTGTAACGAAATTTGGGGCTTGCATGCCTATGGAAGGGGCACAAATTTTCGAAGAAAGCGCACATGATAAAAATAAGAAAGAGAATTTTCAAAAAAAAAGACGACACGATTTGTAAAAGTCAATTCATGGTTATTTGACATTTCCTCAAGAACAATGCTATTCGAAAGGAAAGAGAATTTTCAAAAAAAAAAAAAGACACGATTTGTAAAAGTCAATTCATGGTTATTTGACATTTCCTCAAGAACAATGCTATTCGAAAGGATGTTGTATCAAACCATCTCCAATCAAGGTGAGAGTTGGTGAGTTTTTAATAAGTGTTTACAGCCCATCCTCAAATTTTCATGTCATTTCTTTATCATTTGACACATATTCCGAAGAAATAAAATTGGTGTTGACCCTTGGTTATTTGAAAAGAGCTAGTCTCTACAGCAATATGACACTGTTGCTCATATTTCTCCCCCATTTTTGGTATTTTGAGCTAAACTACGGTGAGATTAATCCTCCTTCACCGCTCGACAAAAATTCCAGTAATAATCACTGCAAGATTGAAAAGTGAACTGAAGATCAAACTAATGGTATGATTGGTTCATGTGAAAATATTTTCCACATTAAAAAATTCTCTTATGCGGTCAAATATGGTAATATTTTTATATCCATTGGTTTTAGTACATCTTTTCACACTAATTGACAACTAATTGATGTAAAAGTATTATCACATTTGACCACATGAGATAATTTTTTCATGTATTTTCGTGAACGAGAAGTGCCATAAAGGTTGATAACGCTTTTGTTATCAACCTTTTGTTGATAACGCTTTTGTTGGTTTTTTTTAAGAAAATTAGCAAAATGGACGTGCATTAGATGCATATTGAAGTAGAAAATGGTTTATAAAATTTATTTTAGTCTCAAGCGCTTATTTTGCTTAAATAAAAACATGTGATGGTTTATATATAAAAACAAAAAAAGGAAAATAATTTACACGGTATTAGTAAAACCTTGAGTACAGGGCATTAGCAAAGTTTTGAATGCACAGAGAGAGTTTTTCTTTTTTTTTGGGGGGGAGGGGAAGAGAGAGATGAGACTATCAATATAATTGAGAGTTATCCCACAAACGCCTATGCAGCCCCAATGTACACCACAATAGCACACAGTATAGTAAAAAAAGGATCTTTGGCCACAATTTTAGAGAGAGAGAGGGTCTGGTATAATAATAGAGAGATAGTGAGGTTTTGTTAATAGTGGGTTTAAAAAAAAATTTTGAATTGAAATTTATCTTTAAAAAGTTAACATGAAATCAAGAAAACCCATAAATAATATTAAAGCATGCATTAATCTTATGAAATAATGGCAAAAAATATTAATTCATATGATATACCTTTCAAATGAATTAATAATAAAAGTAATTCTTTATTTCAAATTTTCTATGTTGGAATTAGAAAAACCCTTAATTTCTAATTTTTAA